GCTAATGGAGACGCGGGTCCCCACTCCCCATTTCACGGGTTTTCTCGGGCGGACGTTCTCAGCCAGTGGTGATTTCACTTCCGTGGAATTTTGCAATGTCTGGAGACATTTTTGGTCGTCACAGCCAAGGGGGAGGTGCCACGGGCACCCTGTGGGTAGAGGCTGGGGATGCCGCCGACCCTCCCACGGTGCCTGGGGCAGCCCCCACCGCAAGGGGTTGTCCAGTGCGAACGTCACTAGTGTCCAGGTTGCAAGTCTCTGGCGAGAGGACGAAGTCGTTTGAAGGCCTGTGTGGCAAACCAAAGAGCTTATGTTCTAGTGTCTTCGTTGTGCTTTGTGTTCTGGGGGTCAGGCAAGCACAGGGTAAACGTTCAACCTTTACACACAGTGAAAAGTACCCCTCCTCCCAAAGTGGGTCATCCCCGGCCCCTCGGTGCTCCTTCCCGGGGGCCATTTCTGCCTCAGTTTCCCACGAATCCTCCCAAGAAACGAGTGTGGACGCTTGGGGCAGCACGCTCCGCTCTAACGGCCCCTGGCTTTTTCTCAGTGAGTGGCCTAGCCGGGAGATGCTTCTCAGCCCTGGTTAGCGTGGGGCCGAGCACATACCAGACTGTGAACTGCATCGGCAGGAAATCTGTGTTCTACCCACTGATGCATTCTAAGCGGCAGTCTCTGGCGGGGACCCTCCCCTGTGCACGAGGGAGAGCTCATCTGTGGGTTAGGCCCGGCTCTGGGCTTACTGTCCCGGGCCTGCATGTTTGTGACCTTGACAGGGAGGTAGGTCTCCCCAGATTAAAGGAACTTTTTTGGAGGGTCCCTTCCACTCCAGTACACCACCAGAGTTGCAAAAATCATTCTAAATTCTGGTGTAGGGGCCAGACTGCTGAGCAAGGTTGCCCCACCCCCCATCCCCCGTGGGACAGGACTAAGTGCCCTCTGGGAGACGCAAGGGACGCCTGCCTTGGAAGGGTTGCTGAGCCGCCGGCCCAGGCCTGACTGGCGTTGTTGCGGAAGCCCGGAGACTCGGGCCAGTTTGTCCCCATCTCTGATGCACAGCACCAGCTGCCCGAGCTTGGGAGGGTGGTCCGCCCCACGGAAAGGGACAGCAGTGTGGGGGTCCCAGCAGCCGTCCCCCTGGGGAGTCCTGAGCCATCACTGTCCACTGCCTCGCCAGCAGCCCATTGGGCAGTGAGAACAGTAAACAGACGGAGGCCCAAGTGGAACACCGAACCCGAGTTCCCTGTGCAGGCCCCATGCCCTACATGTGATGTCTCGAGACGTCTTGCTCCCAAGGTGAAGTAGAGGTCACCACTCTCCTGGGCGTGCAGGTGGAGAAGTGCAGAGCACACAGCCCATGTCCTCTGCCGAGGGCCCCACACATGCAGGTGTCAGGGCCTGGCCAGGCCTGCCTGTGGCACTCGGGTCCCTGGCCGCTGCACGCTCTGACTCCCCAGATAGCCAGTGTGGGCTGTGGTCATCATGGGGGCCGCTGTGTTGCAGCGCCTCCTCCCCGGGAGCTGTTTCCTCAGGCAGCCAGGTGCTCTGGAAACAGGCCCCTTCCCCTTCATGAGGATTCACAAAGGCTTCTGTTCCCAGCGCCTCTCCAGTGCCAGGAGCCAGGAGCCAGTCTAAGTCCAGGGGGACCCTGGTGATGGCATCGCTGTTCCCTGCAGTCAGCTCTGGCCTCCACCCAGAGCCCAGCAGCCCCCAGGGGCCAGGCCTGGTCTCCCGGGCCAGCGCCCACCAGGACCCCGGGAGGAAACTGTTGCCCGTGAATCCAAGCAGCTCTCCCCGTGAGCCGCGCCCCCAGCCCCAGCCCAGCACAGTCGGGTCCCGCTCCCCCCACTCCGACCCGCAGGCTCCAGGGCTCATCACCTCCGCTGCCCTCCTTTTCCTACCTGCCACCCCTTCAGCAACAGGGTCCCACATCCCTGTGTCTGGAAATGAACTGAAAACTTCTTTGGCTTTTCTGTTGCATTTACTGAGGGCCTGGGAGCCCTTTCTGCTTGCTTATCCTTTAACATTTTTTCTTATGGGTTTTATTAACTTTTGAAAAGAAAATACTTGTTTCGACATTTAAAAACCAGAATCTCGGAGCTCCTGGCCAGCTTGGCTGAAGGAGCAGGGGACTCTGGATCTTGGGGTCATGAGTTCGAGTCCCACCCTGGGTGTAAAGATTATGTAACAATAAAGTCTTTAAAAAAGAAAGAAAGAAAGAAAGGAAGGAAGGAAGGAAGGAAGAAAAACAATCTTGTTGGTAATAAAATTCTGGATGAAATAGATTATGTGGGTTGTTTTTCTTCTTTTTGTAACCAATACATTGTTTCTCTCCTTGATTCACCCGACGAAAACTCACGTGTGCTGCCCGCAGTGGAGCGGAGTCAGTTGAAGGAAAACACCACGAGCCTTATTACAAAGTTGCTCTCGCCAACATTAAAAATGGAGCTGGTTATATAATTTGGGGGTTGGGAAGAATACTTTAAAGATGAAATCAACAGCAAAATCTGTAGGGGAAAGAAAGCTAATAGATGTGCCTACATCAAAGGGAAAACTTCTCCCTATTCTAAAGCTCCGAAAATCCAACATCCAAACACCAGGAGACCCGGAGAGCTCAGAGGGACCAGAGAGGAGACCTTCAAGCAAAGAGGGTGCCTCTCCGACAGAGGGACCGAAACGTCCAGACTGGAAGGGTTTGCTGGCATCCAGCACGATGGAGAAAAAGCAGAATGATCCACCCCGGAACACAGCCTCTCGGCCTCCTCACGAGCCAGCTCTCGGGGACTCGAGAAAAGTCCCATCCGGAGTTTCCAGAGCGGGGAAAATGGTCTCGAAGACCGTGGTCGGAAATGCACGGGAATTCTCTCCAGTAACTCCACGAGCAAGAGGCCAGCGGAGGCCTGCCAGTCCCCAGGATCATGGTTTCTGACCTAGAGCTCAGGTCTCGCACTCTCGCTCCTGTGACTCGGGCGTGAAACCCCATGAAAGAGATAAGCCCAAGTCCGAGTGCAAGGCCGGGGGTGGTGGTGTCGCCTCTCTGAACAGTGGGCAAATGTTCTGGGGAGGCCGTGGGGAGCTGTTTGGGACTGGAGTGGGTGACACGGGAGGATCCAGGACGGCGGACACCCAGGCTTTGGCCGCGGGGTGCCCTGGCCACTGGGCCTACGGACAGCAGGTCCCATGTACCCAGTGTGGGCCCTGCGCCGCCCCCCGACCCACCACCCGCTTACAGCCACTTGCTCCTGGCAGAGTCCGAGCCTCTGACCTGAGCTAACACTGGCTCTTGTACACGGCGGACACTTTACCAGAATCTTCTAGTTGACCCTCCAGCAGCCCTGCGAGGTGAGCATCACTGTCCCGTTCGCAGGCAAGAGAAACGGAGCTTACGTCACTGCCATGATATCACACAGTAACTGACAGTGCAGGACCCAGAGCAGGTATGCATGCGCCCGGCCCCAGGCTCACGCCGTTCCACCTCCCCGGCCACTCGGGCTGAGCTCCGAGAACACAGCCCTGGTGATGCTCGTCCTCAGGGGCGAGGAAGGCAGTGTCGGACCAGGCACCCGTGAAGCGCTTGGCACCCGTCAAATTTGCAAAAGTATCTGTCTTTTGGTGTTTAGTTTGCATATGTATCCAAGTAACATGCGTTCAAGACTTAAAGAGGCAAACGGTTCTCCACGGAAGCTGGACGGCCGCCAACCCTGCTCCGACCTCTCTGAGACACACACACACACACACACACACACACACACACACACACACGATCTGTGGCAGGGAGGGGGTGGAGCTCTAAAGGGGCTCCTGAGCCAGGCCTATCCCCACCGCCACCCGCTGTCCCCTGCTTCCCAGCCCTGCGTGTCCTGGAGACAGTCCAGGACCGCTGGGCACATGGTCTCGGAGAATTCCCCACGCGCACAGCCTGGCGCTCCGGGAGGCCGAGGGGGGCCTTGGCAGGGACCGAGTGGCAGGAGCCCAGGAGCAGCGTGCCCAGTGACTCAGCCACCTGTAATCTCTCTGCAGGGGAATTCATCCAAAGGGAAAAACACTGACCACATCACTGGTGAAACATGATCTGTGGAAGTGCTCTGTTTCCACTGTTGTAACAATAGCCAAGAGACTGCTTTTACAAAAGAAAACGAAATGTCCCCAACCTGCGACCCTCTCCCTGCCGTGACTGCTTCGTCTTGGGGGATCCCGAGTGCGGGTCCTTGGAGATGCCATCAGAGCATCACAGGGCAGAGCCGAGGCACCCCAGTTCCCTCCGGTGGGAATGGGGCCCCGTCCCCCACCTCACAGGGCGCCGTAAGGGCTGGAGGAGCTGATTCTTGTGACGATCCTGGCCCTGGGCCTGGACACAGGAGGTGGTGCCCAGTGTCCCCTCCCCCCACCTCAGCCTCAGCATTGCCCCCTCCCCTGGCTCCATCCACCCTCCGGCCCTCTCTGGGACACTCCCCTGACCATCCTGGTGGAGGCACTTTCCAACCCATGTCCTCCACGGTCCCTCCAGCTCTGCCGGCCCAGGGCCCAGAGGGGGTCTCCTCACAGGGCCCACCACACAAGGTGTGCTCACATGTGCTCAGGAACAAGTCCTGCAGGCCCCAGTCAGATCTCAGCCCTCCCTCTCTGGCCTACATCCTCTGCCCCCAGCACGGTGTGCCCCCACTCAGCTCCTCCCTCTCTGTGCTCCCCGATGCCCCCAGTGCTCCTGGGGTAAGCGTGGATGCTGGTCCAGCTCTGTCTCCATCAGAGACAAACGGAGTCCCTGAATGCTGGGCCCAGAATGGCTGATGTCCCACAGGCTTTTACATGATAGTCCTTCACCGACCGCCCCCCCCCGACCATGCGTCATGCTCTGCTTCTTGATGTGGGTGCTGGTTATATGGGTGTGTTTGGTTTGTGAAAATCCATCATCCGTACTCTTATGACACATAGGCATGTGTGTGGTCTGTGGATATTACATTTTACTTAAAAGTTTACTTTAAAAAAAGTTACCTAAAAGTCTCTTTTTTTTTTATTCTAGGGTGATGACAGGGAGACTTGAAGTGGAGTGGGGTTGGGGATTATAGGTAGTCAGGGAGGACTTCTTGGAGGAGGCAACATTTGATCTGAGACCTGTTGGGTAAGAAGAAGCCAGTCTTGGAGGAAACTGGGAAAAGCGCCAAGCAGAGGTTCTAGCAAGTGCAAAGGCCCCCGAGGTGAGCAGAGGTTTGGGCTCTGGTGGGAGGCCATGACAGATGTAGGTGGATCCCAGCACAGAGTGTGGTGTTAGAGGACTCTAACAGGTCAGAGTGCAGGCACCAGATCAGGCAGGGCCTATACCCAGGTGAGGAGTGAGGACCTTACTCTAAATGGGACAGGAGGTCATGGAGGGTTTTGGCTGGGGCCATGCTGTGGTGTGACTTTCCCTCTGACTGCAGAGGAGAAAAAAGGACCTGGGCTCAAACACCCCACAAGTCCTACGTGAATGAACGAAGACAACAGGTACCCAGAGAGCGCTTAGGGTATGAGAACACAAGGGGACTTACAGACCATTTTACAGAGGAGGAAGCAGGGACCAAAGAAGGCAAGTCACTTGCCCCAAATCACACAGCACGTTAATGGCTAGAGCACAGAGACTAAAACCCCAGCCACCTGATACACAGTGACATCTCCCACCAGAAGAAGAAATACCCCTCATTTTGCAAACTTTCTATCAGATTACTAGTTCATTCAGCGTCCGGCCCAGACTGGAGCTGGGTAATCAGGTTAATTTCCCCCTTTCTGATAACTGGACTGCGAATCCCACTTCTTGCTGATTCTCCTCCTGGGCAAGGGAGGCAGAGGCCTGGGAGCAGGTCTGGTTGTGGGGACTGATGGCGGACAGAAGACATAGGGAAGATCTGGCCTCTGGGGACCACCTCCCAGCTCCTGGTGGCATGCCTTGCCATTGTTCCTGATGAGGGCAAGAAAGAAGGAAAGAGCTAAGGCCAGTGGGGGACTGTCTTCCAGATAGGAACCTGGGAAGGATGGGAAGGAGGGGGAGGGGGGAGAGAATGAGGAGGGAGAAGAGGAGGAGGAGGGGGAAGAGGACAGAGAGGGAGGGAAGGAGGAGGAGGAAGGGAAGAAGGAGCAAGGGTCCACAGCGGCCGGGGCTCAGACCTTTCCCCCATTCGCTGGGCTAATTCTCCCATGACCCTGGCCAGGGGTTATCTCTCTCCTCCTTTACAGATAGGCAAGGGTAATGGGTCAGCCCCAAGACACATGGCTGGTTAGTGACATAAAGGGGACTATGGTCTCCTCCTCTCCCCTGGGGGCCCTCCCGTCCTTCAGCCCAGCCACCCCACGTTCCTGGAACTTCCTGCTCAGTTACTAACCATCTGTCTTATTTCCCTGTTCTATTTGCTGCTCGTTCCCTGTAGCAGCTCATCTCCTGTCTGTCTGCACCCCTCAGCAGGACCCCAACCCTAAGTCCCAGCACAAGACCGGCTCCCCAGGGCGGCTGCACCCCTAGTGTTCAGCAGAGTGCCCACCACGCACACGGTGTGCACTGTCTGGGGACCTGAGGAAGGGGGTCGTGGAGGGAAGGCGTTTCTGAGGGGCGGCATTGGGGTCGAGGCCAGGCCACGGGAAGATCTGCGACAGGCGCGGCCTGCAGGAGAGCCACTCAGGCTCCCCGAGGTCAGAGGCCAGGTCCACGGGGGCAGGTCAGAGAGGAGGGCGGCGCACACTGGCTCTGCCTGGGCGTCTTCACAAATACCAGGCCTTGGATTCCAGCCCAGACCTCCATGTCTGGGGTTCTCCGGATTCGCTTTGAAGCCCCCGCTGAGGGTCTGTCTCTGCCACGAGGCCTCGTAGGCCAAAGCAGGAAATGTAACTTCGTTCCAGCTTGGAGAGGAAGCCACTGGAATGCGTCAAGCCATGAGAGTCTTGTGAGCAGCTCAAAGCCTCCTCCGGGAAGACTTCCCGTCTTTCCCTGGTCTGGGGCCCCTACTCTGAGTACGCTCAGGGCGCGGCCCCCCGTCGGCTTCTGCTCCCCGGGCTGCCCTAGTCACCTCTCAGTGTCCAGGCCCCGTGCGGCAGCCCTGCCGGCCTTGGGAACGAATGAGCGCCCGGACACGCGAACAGACCAAAAGGGGGTTGGGACGAGCGGGGCCCACGGCTGCCGCGCGGGGGAAGCACCTTCTTCAGGCGAGGGGGGTCCGAGGGCGCGGGGCGGGGGGCGGAGGGTCCGGCTTGCGCGGCTGGACGCGGAGCAACCTCGTGACGGCTCCCCTGCCCCGGGGCTTCGGTCACGAGGAATCGCAGAACGGCGGCCCTAGAGACACTGCCCGGAGGCCGTGGGGGAGGGCAGTCCCTCTCTGACGTGCCCCCGCGCGGCGCCGCAGGCCCGCCTCTCCAGGCCCCAGAGCTGCCGGAGGGGGCGCGGACCCCAGAATGGGGGCGGGGCGAAGCCCGGAGGGGGCGGGGCGGAGCGCGGAGGGGGCGGAGTGGACGGAGCGGGCGGGGCGGAGCGCGGAGGGGGCGGAGCGTACGGAGAGGGCGGGGCGGAGCGCGGAGGGAGTGGAGTGGACAGAGCGGAAGGAGCGAGTTCCGAGCGCGGTGTGGGGCGGACCCTGGAGCGGACCCTGGAGCGGACCCTGGAGCGGGCGGGGCCGACCCTGGAGCGGGCGGGGCCGACCCTGGAGCGGGCGGGGCCGACCCTGGAGCGGGCGGGGCCGACCCTGGAGCGGGCGGGGCGGGTGCGGCCGGCTGGGGTCCGCGCTGTCGAGGCTGGCTCCCGCACGACCGCCGCGCGCGGACAGCTCCGGGACTGAGGGCTGCAGAGCGCTCGCACGGGCGGCTTGCGGGTGGCGAGGCTGGCGCGACGCGGGTGCCGCGTGCCGTGCCCGGGCGCCCCCTCTACCGTCCGGGCCGAGCGCACCGCGGGGCGTGTTCCGGCGCCGCTCCAGCCGCGCGCTACCCGACGGCGTGCCCCGAAGCCTCGCGGCCGTCGCCCGTCCACACCGGGAGCGTGGTGCGCGACCGCAGCTGAGCCTGCAGGGTGCGGCGCGGGGGGTCGCGGACGCTCACACACCCTCCACGCCCGACGGCCGCCCCGACAGCATGGGGAGGGGGGAGCGGTGGCGGACGCCTGTGCCCGCTGCGCTTCACCCCCGCCGGGCCTGCCCGCCCGCCCTCCGCCGTCCGCGGGTGTTCGTCGCGGGCCACGCTGGGCACCTGCTGCTGCCGCCCCTGCCCAGCCTGTGTGCTGCCGGAGCTCAGCCCTGCTGACGGCCTGGCGGAGCCCCCGCGTTCTGGGGATGCTGAGCTAGCCGACCGCGGAGCCAGCTCCGTCTGCCTCGCCCACTCCAACAGCCGCCCCAGCTCGCTCCTTGCCGCGTGCGGTGCCTGGAATTCGGCCAGGGCGGGGAGCCGAGCGGCCCCAGCAGCTGCATGGCCAGCCAGGCTGAACCCAGAAGCGGGGTTCTCAGTAAGGACAGCTCCCTCCATGTCAGTACTGGGAGCCACCGGGCAGAGTGGGTCTCTTGCAGGGGTCCGGGTGGGGGTTGATGACGTCAAGAAGCAGTGTCTGGGCGGTGGAGGTTACTTAAGCTGAGAGCGCCCCACCAGCCTTCTGGGCCACCCAGGGTGATGAATTCCTTCCGGCCCAGCCTCGGTTTCTTGTCCTACCTGAATGCTGGGGACCCTACCAGGTCCAGGGTTTGGATGTCCTGCGGCAGCCTCTGCCCACCCCAGCCTGCCAACCCCATGTGGTCCACACCTCACCCGCTAAGGACTCACTCCGACTCCCACTAGGTCTCACTTTGTGCTTGTAAGGAAGCTGTAAGCATCTGTGAAGTCCTCTGGGGAGAAGCAGAAGGCAGGAAGGTAGCCCTCTGTTGCTGGGGACTTCTGAGCTCTCATCCAGGAGGCCTGCCTGCCTCCGGGCTTCTCCAGATTCTGGGGCTTCTCTGACTAATCGGGCTGCAGGGAGCAACCCGAAGGCCTGAGATGTGCATGATGGAGTGGGGGTGCTGGAGGGGTGCAGCACTGGCCTGGGTGGCCACAGAGGGTGCACCTGCCACCCAGGGGAGAGAAGTCATGGGGAGCAGATTTTGATCCCTGATTATGACAGACCTTTCCCATTTTTGAGCACCTTAGTATCATGAGGTAGTAAGCTCCCTGTCCTTGGAGGTATTCCAGTAGATGCCGGTTGGTCACAAAGAATGAGGGAGAAAGATGTGTGGAGGTGCTAGGTGATTTCTGCACTCCCGTGAGCCTGGACTGGGGGGTCATATCTTCAGTATGCATGTCATGTGGCTGGAAGCACCTTCTCCCTTTGCTCCCACGTGCGCCCCAAAAGCTAAATCAAAAGGCACGTGATTGAAATGCCTTCCCTGGTCGATGGCAGTCGATGCTTGTGCTGACACCGAGCCATGGTAAAGCATGGCCAACAGCAGGGCTGTGGAGGAGGGGTCAGAGTCAGAGCCAGACTCTATCCACACAACCATCTGCACCTAAATTTCATGGCTGACGGTTCTCTGGAGGAAGACTTGAGCTTGAATGTAAAGGAAGAGCACATTTACCCCACGTGGTGTCCAGGCCAGGAGTCCAGGCGGGACCTTGGGTTGACCTGAATGTCGGCACGTGTGTTATCCCAGGGCCAGCGCTGCGCCCGAGGGAAGGAAGGCCCCAGCGGCTCCTGGTGTGAGCACCCCAACAACTCTTCTTTGAAGCAGGGCCATCGGGAAGAATCTTAGTGTCTTGGAGGGCGTGTCCGCTTACAAAGAAGATACTTGTTTGGAAAGTAGAGAACCACAGTGCCTTCATCGGTAGCACCAAATCGTGATTATTTTTCTACCCCTGCTGTAGTTCCTACCTGTCTTCCTGCCACCCAGGCCCCAGCCGTCCAAAGGGCTGGCCCTAGGAACCAGCAGTGCGACACAAGGTGCTCTCCTGAGAGACCATGAGACTGTCCGGGAGCCGTGAGCACTCTGACTCAGACATAATAGCTTCTTACATGGTCATTTTTTAAAAGACTTTATTTATTTTACAGAAACAGAGCCAGAGAGCATAAATGGGGGGAATGACAGAGGGAGCGAGAAGCAGATGCCCCCATGAGCAGGGAGCTCAACGTGAGACTCGATCCCAGGACCCTGAGATGACCTGAGACAAAGGCAGATGCTAAAATGACTGAGCCATCCAGGCAGCCTGTTCTAAAATTATCGTATCAGGGTGCCTGGGTGGTTCAATGGGTTAAACCTCTGCCTTCAGCTCAGATCATGATCTCAGGGTTTTGGGATCGAGTCCCGCATCGGGCTCTCTGCTCAGCAGGGGGCCTGCTTCCCACCCCTCCCATCTACTTGTGATCTCTCTGTCAAATAAATAAAATATTAAAAATCATCCTGTCTATTTCTTTTTCCTTGAAGATTTTATTTATTCATTTGAGAAAGAGTCAGAGAGAAAGCATGAGCAGGGGAGCGGGGCAGAGGGAGAGGGAGGAGCAGACTCCCGGCTGAGCAGGGAGCCCGACATGGGGCTCCATTCCAGGACCCCAGGATCACGACCTGAGCAGAAGGCAGACAGACACTCAACCGACTGAGCCACCCAGGTCCCCCTAATATCATCCTGTTTAAAGACTATTGTAGAAAGTTACACTAATCAGTCCGTATGTACCGCATCATGGACACCAGCCAAGGGGTGGGAGGCGAAGACATTCAGCCTGGAGTCTGCTTGGTCAGAAGTCCCTGGTCTGTCTTGCTGTGTGACCCTGAGCAAGTCGTGTTGCCTATCTGAGCTCCGGTTTCTTCCCCCATAAAATGAGGGAGTCCGTGATTCAGGGATTCATTTTTACACCTCTGTGTTCTTTTCTCAGTGCTCTTCCCAAGCAAACTGTTTTCAGGGTCGCTTCTTGCCACAAAGCGGAGATCCTATAAGCATCATAGTTCCTTTGACTCTTCGTTCTTGTGAATTGTTTCCTTGATGGAGGTCAGGGCGCTTCTCACTGGCTCTTGCCATCAAAGTGTGCTCACCCAGAGGAGGACTGCGGATCTCAAGGAGGTGTTGGCGGTCACAGCCGGAGCCCAGCTTGGAGCCGGCCCTCGTGAGGCTTCTCTGGGGACTGCCCTGAGTGTGGGAACAGGACCCAGGTGTGGCCTCGAGGGACAGCCCGGTCCTGCCCCCGGAGCGGAGGGGACGGTGAGGAGGGAGGCGTGGGTCCCCGGCTCCCCCGCACCCTGAGAAGTGAACTGTCGGCAGCTGTGGACGAAAGGGACACGAGCAGGTCCACCCACGGAAGTGCGGCATAGATGAGATTTCTGAGCGGAACATCGAAGCCCGGAGTGTGCAGAGCGGGGAGAGCGGCCAGCTGGTGTTGACCGACCTTTGGCAAAGAGGCAGACAGGGTGCTTTGCGTGCCGTTGAGCCTACCTCCTACCTCCCCATCCCGCTTCCCAGGGGAGGAAAACAAGGCACGGCGTGGCTGACAAAGCCGCACGGTTCCAGGGCGGCGGAAGGGCAGAGGCGGGAACCAGAGCCAGCCTGGAGGTTGAGTTTAGAGCTACGTGTCCAAACCCACAGGAGCAGCTGACG